TAGTTGTTGTCCACTTTAATAGCGTATTTTTTGTACAGTGGTGTAGTGATTAGAAATTTTAATGCTTCACAAATAACACTGGGCCTGATAGATTCAAACATGTAATCACTTTTGTGACTAATATGTCGTTTCAACTTCAACTGAATTGTTTGGATCTCATTGAATTTGTGGGATAATACTTGGAGCATATCATTGATATCAACTTGTATATTCACTACACTACCTTTTAGACCTAACTGTGGATTTAACGCATATGGCTTTAATGCCCGAATTTGCATAAAATTTAATACTGGTGCTACCATCCTTTCTTCACGATCTGACAGTTCTGTTACACATTTTGGTATTTGCCTGAACTGGAGACCATTGCTGGTTGAAGATTGATGCACTTTGCCACGATATGCATAATTTTTGCATGTGTTGCATATGAAACCGTATGGGAAGTTGTTAATTTTGGTTAGAAACTCGTGGCCGCTTTTTTCGATGATTTTTCGTCCATTCAGTGTTACAACTGAACATCTAAAAAAGAGACCTTCACAACAAAAGTATACGATTGAAGCTGTTTCAGACCGAAACTTGATGAATTGAAGTTGAAGTTTTGCTTTCGGAGAAGATTCTCTATTTCTCATCAAACGATTATAAAAATTATCACGAAAATTCAATATATCAATTTCTCTCTTATCTCTGTGCGATTTCGATTTTTTTTCTAATTGACGTGCGCGATATTTCGCATTCTTTCTTTTTTCTTTCGTCCTTCGTGCATTCAGAATCCGTTCCCGCTTTCTATACGCTTTTTTACAACGTGTGATTCTCATTAGTTCCAGATTTTTTCTGTTTTTATTTCGGCTATAAATCTTATTCAAACGCAATTGTTCACTTCGAATTATATTCCGCGAAATTTCATTTTTGATGAACTTCACATTATTCCTCAACATTTTATTTCTCATAACATTTTGGGCGAGGTCACGTGATTTATACGCTTTGTTTCGTCGAAGAATACGTTTTGTTTGAGATTATTGGATAATTCATTTTCAATATATTGTATTGTTATGCCCAGAGAAGGATTTTAACGTCGAATGGACATGTTTTGATTGTCACATTAAAATCAAAGCTAAAATTATTGAATTTTATAATTATTGGACGACGTAAAGTTTTATACAGGTATTGTATGTATAGTATTGATTCCAATGTTGAATAAATAATCCGATCAATCAATTAAATAATTTGTCGCCTTGAGCTGACAACTGAAGTTTTCTCTTTCTTATTTTGAGCGATTATTATAATATTGCGAGAAATCACAAGTGTACAATAATTGCTAGGAATAATGCTATTTTACTGTTTTTATATTTCTGGGCGTTTCTCTTTGAAAATTTGTGTCGTTATAAGTACGAAAAAAAAACTATTACTATTACTCTCCGATTAGAAAGTTGATAATCACTGCACGTAAAAATATTGTAATAATAATGACTTACGGTGTAAACTGACGATTTACATCGAAGATGAGCTGATCGCAGTTCACTTTAAACTGATGAATTCGGTCTATACACAGCAATAAATACCTGTGTCGTTCACGGGTAGTTTTTGTTTACATTACTGTTTAGTTTTCTGTTTACATTTCTCGGATTATCCTCCCTTTCTCTGTATCTCTCTCTCCCTCTCTTTCTGCCACTCTCTCTCCCTCTCTCTCACCCTCTCTCTCTCTCTCTCTCTCTCTCTTCGCAGACGTGTTGTGCTGTGCTGCTGCCATAAAGTTAATAATAAACTGTCAAACTGTGTAAATTTCGTGCTGATTAATTTTTCACCCTACAGTGTGAACAGATATCCAAACATTCTGTGCATTTTCGTGCTTTACATTGTAATTTCTTTTCCAACTTTCATCTTTTACTGTTGCTGGTGATTTTCTAACCTCGACAATGGGTGACAGAAAAACATTTAAGTGTTCCAAATGCTGCAAAGACGTTGCGAGGAATGTGAGCGAATGCAAACTGTGCCTCAAATTTTACCATCCAGGGTGTGTAAAACTTCATAGAATTTATAATAAAGACAACAAGCTCATCCCTTGCCCAGGAGAGATTATTTGCAGTATGGTCACAGGACCATCAGGATGTCATGCTTCTACAACATCAGAGGTACCGGTACTCCAAATGACAGATGATGATGGATCTTCTGTTGTTGCCCCTACACCAGTAGGTGATGGAAGTGCAGAATCAACAACAGATCCGATTTATAGACGTGAATTCAATACAAATAGTTTGAATTCTAATTATCAAATGGAAAGTGACATATTTAACGTAACTGAAAATCCACTGAAAAGAAAGAGAGATCGGATCATGAGACGAGAGAAGAAAACAGTGATTTATTTAGTGGTAAAATTGAACTCCTATTACGCAAAATTGAAGAATTGAGTGCATTAAATAAGCACAACAATGTTTTCACAAGTGACCTTAAATCGATATTGAAAAATGAACTCTTATCTATGGACAAAAAAATCAAATCTGACATGGCTGTGATGAAAAGTGAAATTACTGACATGAAGAAACTGATCCTAGAACTAATTAATTCAAATAAAAGTAAAAATGTAAACTGTGATCTCCTCAGTGACACTTCTGATAATAACAATGAAGGTAGTACTAACAATGACTATTTCACAAAATTGGTGGCAAGAAAAAAACAAGAACCAAAAACGAAAAAATCTAAAATTCGCAATAATGAACAAGTGATAGTTATTACTCCAAAAATAGCAGAACAAGCTTCAGGCACTGAAAATCTAATTAAAAACAAAATCGATATAAATCACCTGAATGTCAGTAAGTGTACTATGAAAAAAACATCTAATGGTAAAGTTATCATTGGATGTAATAACAAAGAAGAAAGACAGAAAGTAGCAAAAGAAATAGATTCTAAATTGGGTTCTCAGTGCTCAGTAACAATTCCTAGAAGTTCAAAATTTAGAATAAAAATTATCAACATTGATCTAAGTAATAAGGAGAAATCAGATGAAGACTTAATCGAATTTATTATGAAACAGAACAAAATGAATGCAAATGATAGCACTAATGGGATTAAAATTGTGAACAGATGGACAGTGGATAAATATAATAATTTCACAATTATTGTTGAGGTTAATGATGAAATTCACAAAAAAATTTTGGAAAAGAATTATCTTAATATTGGATGGAATAAGTGTAAAGTTTTCGACTATGTAAAAGTTATTCGCTGTTTTAAATGTTGGGGTTTCTATCATATAGCAAAATACTGTAAGAAAAATGAAGTTTGTGGTAATTGTGCAGAGAGTCACTCTACCTCAAATTGTACAAATGATCAAATGAAATGTGTCTCATGCTTGAAATATAAAGAAGAATTGAAACTGAAAGACGAAGAAGTTAAACACTCAGTAAATGACAGAAATCGTCCTTCATATAGGAATTTTTTAGTAAAGCTGAGACACAAACATACGACATTGGACTAGCTAATTTACGAAAAACAGGGAGGAGAAACAAACTATATGTGATTTATTTAAATGTACGTAGTTTACTCCACAACAAAGATGAAATAGAAGAATTAATTATAAAACCAAAAAATCCGTCCATATTAGTTTTTACTGAAACAAGAGTGACTGATGAAATTGAAGATGAAGAGATTTTAATAAGTGGTTACGATGCCATTAGATGTGATTCTGAAAAACGAATGACAGGGGGTGTCTTAATATATGTGAAAAAAGATGTTATTAAATATAAAAAAATTGTAAATAAGAAAATTATTAATAATTGTTGGATACTTGGCATAAAAATCATGAGTGATAACTTCAATGGCACGCTCATTGGTGTTTATCACTCACCAAGTGCTAGTCATGGGGAATTTATAATTTCATCGAAAATATCTGTGAAAATTTAGTCAACGAAAAGGACTGCATCTGCGTAGGTGATTTTAATATTAATTTCAATGAAGATTCATTTTATGCGAAAAAACTGAAAACTACCTTCGAAGGATTGGCAATGAAACAACTAATTAAGGAACCGACAAGAATTGAGAGAAATAGCGCAACATTAATAGATCTTCTGTTTAGTAACAATTTCATCGATACAAAAGTAGCTCACAGCCCAAAAATCACTGACCATGCATTTATTGGAATTCTACTAGGTGACATTGAAATTAATAGTAGCATGAATAAGTTAAATATAAGGGATTTTAAGAATTTTAATGACATGAGTTTTATAAACCGACTGACAAATAATTTTGACTATATGAACTTAAATGTGAATGTGAATAATAGTATGACCTTAGATGACGAAGCAAATATAGAAGTTGATTCCTTGGTTGAAAGCTTGAATATGGAGGCTCCGATGAAAATGATTATAACAAAAGAGAAACTAATGGAAAAGAAATGGTATGATTTGGATGTGAAAAATCATATTAAAGAGAGGAATCGATTATATAAAATTGCGATAAATAATAAGACAGAGGCCAACTGGCTAAACTATGTACAGAAAAGAAACGTAACTGTGTCAGAAATCCGTAAAGCAAAAACGAAATATTATGAGAACGAAATTGATGATAACAAAAGTGATAGTAAAAAAATGTGGAGAACGTTGAAAAAAGTATTGCATAAAAATTAAAATAGTACTCTACCTAATGAAATAAATTTTGGGGGTAATTCAAATGATTTAAGTAATAGTGATACAGACATTGCGAATAAATTCAATGATTATTTTGTAAACAGTGTCGTTGATATCATCAATAGTATAAAAAAAGTAGAATGGCATTTAGATGATATCTCAAATAAAAATAGTACTGAATACACCAGGAAATCGATTAATAGAAATTTTTAATAAATCTTTGAAACAGGGGTATGTTCCAAGCAGTTGGAAACATTCTGAGATAATACCAATCCAGAAAGTTAACAATACGATAAAAGCTGAAGAATTTCGACCAATCAACATGTTGCCTCAATATGAAAAAGTAATTGAAAAAATAGTTTCTATACAGCTCATAAACCATCCTGAAAAGAATGGAATTTTGACTGAACAACAATTCGGGTTTAGGAAAGATAAATCATGTGAAAAAGCGGTTCAGGATGTAGTTTCTGCATGGAGAAATCATATTGACAAGGGGAACATTATCGGTGCAATATTTATTGACCTCAAAAGAGCATTTGAGACTGTGGATCGTGATATATTGTTGGCAAAAATGAAAAAATATGGTATTGATAGCAAGGTATGGAATTGGTTTCAATCCTTCCTAGATAAACGTACTCAAACTGTAATATATCGCTCGGGAATATCGGAGAAAAAAGAAGTAAAAGCAGGAGTTCCGCAGGGATCGGTATTGGGACCTCTGTTATTTCTGATATATATTAACGACATAGTAAAATGTATTGGAAATGACATCAATATTAGGTTATTCGCCGATGACATGGTATTATTCGTTATAGGAAGTAGCTCCGAAGAAGTTGAACAGGGCTTGAATAGGCAGCTACATACAATTGAAGAATACCTGGAAAGGAACAAATTAAAAATAAATGTCATCAAAACTAAGTTCATGGTTCTGAAAATGAAAAAACAAAAATTAGGAAAAAATGTCATAGTAAAAAGCAGAGACGGGACAGAATTGGAAAGAGTGAGAGAAATTAAGTATCTAGGGGTGATAATTGATTCGAATCTGACGTTCAAGGCCTACGGAGAACATATAGTAAAGAAAGTAGGGAAAAAAGTAGGGGTGTTGTACCGGGTTGGGCGATATGTCAGTATCATGGCCAGGAATTTAATATACAAAAGTATAATAGCTCCCCATTTCGAGTATGCCAGCACAATAATATATACAATGAGCGGAACGAGCATGAAAGCACTTCAAAAAATGCAAAACCGAGCGATGCGGAGTATCCTAGATTGTAATAGGAAAACGAGAGTGTCGGACATGCTGGAGGCGTTAGGTTTTGTGACAATCGAAGAAAGAACCAAATACAATGTATTGAAGTATGTCCGCGAAATGGAAATGAAGTGGGATGAATGAATGCATAGGAGTGGCGAAGATGGCCACGGCAAAAGAACCCGGGCTGATGGAAAATTTGTAATTCCTTTGAAAAGAACAAGTTTCGGTCAGAATGATGTTATGTATAAAAGTCTGAAAATGTACAACAGCTTACCCGAAGCGCCAGAGGGAATGTCGAAGGCTTAGTCGGTAAGAGTGCCCGGCGCGTATCTGGGAGACCCGGGTTCGATTCCCGGCTGGGTGAAGCGGAAATTTTTTCTCTCTAAATTCTAATTCTCTTAGAATTTTTTTTTTTTTTTTTTTTGTTGTATTTTTTCGCTCAGAGCCCCACGAACTCAATCATAATCTTACCATTATTTTCGTCTTTCATTACACCTAATTTCTTTTTATTCTTTAGAGGTATATTATATACATTATTTATTGAATAATCAGAAGTGTCGAATTTATCAATATCATTTTTCATAATTTCATAAATATCCTCTACTCTGAAATGATAAATAAGACTATCCGTATCTGTGTACAATAGTTTTGCCCTATCCTTAAAAGTTTTTTTCACATAATTATAGTGAAAATCATAAATGTATCTTTTAGAAATGTCTAGAATACTGAAACCTATGTATGTATTGGCTTATTAAATTTAATTTTTGTACGACTCATTTGAATTATTACCAAATCCTTATCAAAGATAATACTGCTATGAAAGTTGGGTTTCGATATCCAACTCTCAGCACCCAATCGTCCCTCCCAATTTGAAACTAGTTTTACATCCAGATGTTTTCTAACGTTCTCCATTGTTTTTGCAAAAACCGCACCGTTAGGCGGTGTTTGAGGTGAATTTGAAAGTGAATTTCTGTGGTTCCCGGTAGCTTAGTCGGTAAGAGTGCCCGGCGCGTATCTGGGAGACCCGGGTTCGATTCCCGGCTGGGTGAAGCGGAAATTTTTTCTCTCTAAATTCTAATTCTCTTAGAATTTTTCAATTTTCAAGTTATGCTGGGAATTTTTCCCGTAATTGATATTTAAATCAATATATTTTTTTAACCATAAGCTCTGTGAGAACTTCAAGATTCTATGAATTCTAGTAATTTTCAAGCCCAAACTACAATATTATTTTAAATTCGCATAATGAATGACGTGATTTTTTTTTTTTAAGTTTAAAGTCGTCAATAATTTTGGTAACTTTGATTGACCGTTTGGGGGGATTATATGCTCTGGGCACAATGGTAAATCTTTATGCTCTTCATGCAATTCCCGTGGGTACTCCAGGTCAACCTCCAGGATGTATCCAGTCTCTGAGTCATCTGGAATCTTCAGAACGTTGAGGGATGACTAATCTTCCAGCCAACAGAAGTTCCCATTCGGCAAATGATGATTCATTGCTGCTTCATATAAGTTGTTTACATCCAGATACATCAAATACGATTTTTCATCTTCAGGGTTATATTCATCAGCTCCCATGTAGTGGTTATTTGCCTTTCCATATCGGTTTGAACACTGCGACAGTCCTCCTCGAATGCCTTTCTCAATGAAAACGAGCATCTCAGGGTCTTGGAATAATTCCAATTGAACTCCAGTGATTTTTAACATTGCATCAAACGGCAGCCCTGGTGCAGTATAATAATAATGGGGATCCAAGTTGTATGAGGCAAAATAACTTCATCGAAAATTCTCGAAAATATCGGCCTGCAACAAGACGTCAGTTTTCAGATATAAATCGGCGTGTTCACTGAGTGTCTTGATGTCGAAATTTCTCCATACATCACATGCATGATTGTAATCTCTATCTGATATATTCTCATCATTCAATCGAGAATAAAAGTCTTTTTTCCGAGGTAATTGGCGTTCACTTAATTTCCCCCATGAATCTAAGTATTCATATGGAAAACTCCTTTGTGTGTAAAGAGTTCGAATTGTCGTTTTTGGGGGTAATGGTTGTGATTCTCTTTTTTTCATCCTCTAAATATGACGAAAGTTTATCAATACTGCTTACCATAAGACGAAATAAGTCAATGAATCTCAAGTGGACTCTTGTCGATTTGACCGATTTCGTGAAGGAAACGTATTTCTCTTTATTAATTGGGATTAATGTCACTGCGCCTTGGAATTGTTTCGCAAGAGATTTAATAAAACAATGTGAGTCATAACCTGACAAATTGTGAAAAACTACTGGGATTACACACGATTCCGTATAATTCAGATTACAGCCGGGATGAGCAGCTCCACGATACTTGCCTGTGAAGTGGCAATGATCACGATGCTTCAGTGCTTTTTCGGTGAATGCTCTGTCACAAATATAACAATTTTTAGCTGCATTAAATGCATATAACAATTTTTAGCTGCATTAAATGCTCGCTCCATTTCAAAAGTCAATTTCATCGGCTCATTTCTCTGTAATTCAGCATCAACTTTTATAGCTAAAATACGTAGTCGCTCAATAAACCACTCTACACAGACTTTTCCATGATAAATAGAAAGTTCCGATTTTGAGTTATCATAGCTACATTTCACATAAAATGCAACACTGAATGGTACATGATTTTATTATATTTTGGTATTTACATCATTGTCATCGGACACTTTTTCCAATAAACACTCAGTAGCAGCGTATACAACAAATGGAACAGTCAGTTGATTTTTGAAATTTTGAAATTTTAAATATTTTTCACCACGATGAGAAAAAATCATTCGACACTTATTGATCGATATACAATCTACCCTATGATTAGTGTAAGCCTCTTTCTTGAAAAAGTGACACAAACACCTGTCACATATGAGTGTTTTATGTCCATTTTTTGTATTAATAATCGGCGCGGAAGAATGAAATTGACGAGTTCCTGTAATGGTTAAAGCATTTAAGAATCGAGTTTTCAAAGCATCCTCTACTATTTTATGTTCCTCATTTATACCAAACATACTTTCGATTGACTCTATTGAGTTTTTTGCGAATTCATAAAAGTCTCGTGGAGTCTTAATTTGATTGTCATACGGTCGCTGTAAACTCGCTCGGGCTGCGGCTCTCTTCACCGTTCCACCAATGCCATCACATGGCGCTTTTCCATGGGACGTTGCAAAGATATGCCAGTCAGCACTCATACCGAAGTGTAATTCATGGTAAAAGAAATTGATAAAATTTTTCCTATTTTTATATTGAGAACTGGCACCCCCTGTGGTGTGGTTGGCACCGCAGGTGCCCCGCCTTAGGCACCAGTTGATTATCTATTGACATTTTCCAGAACCATTTATTTGTCAGTAAGTAATATAAAATCCAAAATAACGGCTCTATAATATCCAGAAGTCCATTGTGAATTAACGTTCGAAGAAAGTTACAGGCTCAGACCCTATTGGGTACGAGACGCTCAGCATGTTCTCCCAACTTGGAATGCATCCGGAGAGACCTGCGACTTGCGGAGCTCCATAAAAAACTCAATATCTCGGGAACTAGTCAAGATTAGTCAATGCCATTCATACCAACAATCTTTCGATATCTACGCAATAACATATATTTTGTCGAAATTTTCGCAATATGCCCTCATACTTTGTGTTGTAATTGATGATAATTGGAATAAGGCGAGGTGGCTGAAGAAAAATGAGAACGACACAAAATAATCGTAAACAGCACGTCTGCTCTCTTCAATATATTTTGATCGACTAAATACATTTAATCTCTCGAGGTAAGGTGTCAGCGACACACACACTACGATAGCCATCATCCGTGTATTCGTACTGTTGTCACCGTTGATTCCAACACTTCCTCTCAACGGTGTTCAACGCTGTCCTCAGTCCAGTCCTTTAAACACATGATCTTCGACAATACTTTCAATCGTTGTGGTCCTAACGGCTTTGTCAAAACATCTGCCACATTATTTTCCGTAGGACAATACTGGACGTCCACAACTCCTCCTCTCTGAAGATTCCTTGCATAAAAATGTTGAGTGTCGATGTGTTTCGTCCTGTTGCTCAGTCCATCGGCCTGGAGACTGTTTATGCAGCTCTGATTGTCTTCCATTATTACCACTGGATCCCCAGGACTTTGATTGCAGAAATCCAGTATTTTCAGGATCCAAACAACCTCTCTACATGCTTCTGATAAAGCAACAATTTCGGCTTCTGTGGAAGAAGCAGATACATAAGTTTGTTTTCTACTTGCCCAATTGATTGTCCCTCCGTTTAGCATAAATACGAAACCGCTCTTGGACTTCCTGCTGTCCCTTGCCTCTGCCCAATTGACGTCTGCATACCCCATGAGTTCCAATTCTCTTCCCCTGATGTTGCTCATCCGCATAGTTCATAGTTCATCGTGATCTTCAGATACTTGCAAACACGTTGGAGCTCGGTCCAGTCCACTTCCGTTGTGCTCTTAATGTGTTGACTCAGAATGGAGACCGATGCTGCGATGTCTGGTCTCAAATTTACTGCAATGTACAATAATGATTCAATTAATTTTTGATAATGGTCATTCACAATTGTTGGAGATAAAACTCGATTTTTCTCATATCTAGTGTCCATCG